AATTTTAACGGGAATATTTTAAGAGTATTGTAAGCTGTCGACAATTTTTTATTTATATGAAATTATGAGATGTCAAGTTCATAAGTTGAAATGCTGACTCGTATGATTTGGGGTAGTCCCCATTTTTACATCAAAGGAGGGACTTTATCGTCACTTTAAATCGTCAAATCGCACAATTTTATCGGACTCGACTCTCAAAGATTCAATATTAATTGCAATAAGTAATTATTCACCGGATTTAGAAAAATTATCAGCTACCATGGAGTCCCACTTTTCGCATTAATAATTTTTTATTGCATGACGTATGGTGCATGGCTTATTAATAATCGGGGCATGGAGTTTCTATGTTGTTGTGCANCATGCAATTTTCTTATCTTCCCAATATTTCCCGCCATTCCTTCCCATTCCTTAATTTTCTTTCCTTCCAACACTGAGAGAAGAAAATGGTTTCGAAAATTACAAAAAATCTAATCGCTAACGAGCAATTAGTTTGCGGCTAGAATTTTTTTCATATTATCAAAACATTTTTTTTCTTTTAGTGTTTTCCTGACGGAATACGCCTACCACATTCCCGTGGTTTCCGTTGAGCAGCTATGAAAAATGCTGGCCAAGAGTGGGCAAAACTTATAAGTTAAACTTTAAATTAATAATTAATTAATTAAATTTTAAAGAACTGACATCTCATATTTTTTTCAATTTTTAATAAAATAATTATTCAATATTAAGGTGACTAAGAAATAATCAATTTCTGGCACCATGATGTTTTAACAATTACCCCCGGTACAACTAAGCATTTTTCAAGTTGAATTGGTGAAAATTTGTTTGAATTTGTAGAGTCTACTCACCCGCGCGCCCATCGCAACTGCGGAGACCCCTTAACCGTGATGAATTGTTCAATTTCATGATTTTTTTTTCTCTGCGCGAAAAGGTGCGAAAACTTCCGACAAAATCTATGGGTTAAAAATTATGGCCCTAAAGTTTGCAAAAAAAATCTTCAGCAGACCATATTTGGTGAGGAAATTGAGCAATTGAAAAATTTCAAATTTTACTTTATCGGGCGTGACCAAATCTAATCGTGATGGTGGCTGAATATGTAAAGATAAATTAGGGATTGATTTTGTCAATAGTTTAATTATCGAAAACCATTGACATGGCATATCTCGCCTAGGAATTAATCTATTTGAAAAAAAAAACATGGTCACGATTTTCATTCTACAAAATTTCTACGTCATTTTTTTCCGTTTTTTCTACTCCTATTGGTTAACATTAAATCGGGCTATGGAACACTAAATCTTTATCAAGCTCCATTATTCATCTGAATCGTCTGATTGAAAAAAGAAACAAAATCACGTTTGAAAAAAATACAAATCTTCTCGGTGGTGTTTCTTGTTTCTTGTTATAAATGTATCATTTATGATATATGCAATATTTTTCGCAAGGGCAAAAATCAACACAGGATATCTTCGAGCCAGATAAGGAGATTTAGATGAGAAGCAAATTAAACGTTGGATTAAAATAGAAATTTTACATGAGGATTTTTTAAAGATTTTTTTTCATTCTATCCATGGAAAACTATTCAAATATATCTTTAACGGCGGATATCTTCTACATAAATGATTATATTTGAAAGAAATTGAAATTTATACATTTTATTCTTGAAAACTCTCTTGTAAATTTCTTTTTTTCGCACTTTGGACCATATTCAGAATTTTTTACATTGAGAATTCACATAAAATACATTCAGACATGAAAGAAATGATTAATCCGATTGACATAGATTTTCAATGATTTTTTCCTTACGTCGCGTGGGTTGTGCAAAAAGATCGTATAAAGACTTTTTTGGATTTTCCGGAAAATTTGTGCGAAAAGGTCGTGTAAAAATTTTCTCAAGGAATTGTAAATCTCCACGTTTCAGGTTATTCTGAATAATGTGAGCCTAACTTTTTGAGACAATTTTTTTGAACTTTTTCAGGGAATTTGGAAATGTTTTTGAAAATTTGTAACAAAAGGTATGTATAAACACATTTTCAGGGAACAGTAAATCTTAACGTTTCAGGTGATTCTGAGTCATCTGAGACTAACTTTTCGAGACTGTTTTCTTTCAACTTTTTATAAGGAACTTGGAAAAATTTCGAAATTTGTGCCAAAAGGTCGCATAAGCCCCACGCCCCACCGTCCCCTATGAATATTCAAATTCAGTTGGAGTGGAAAATTTTATTTCCAGACATTAGGTCCATATAAATTGTCTGAAATGTAGAGATTTACTATCCCTTGAAAAAATGTTTATACGACCGTTCAGCACAAATTTTTAAAAAATTCCTAAATTTTCTGTAAATAGTTTTAAAAAAAAGTTAATTTCAAAAAGGTAGGCTGAGATGACTTAGAATCATCCAAAAGGTAAAATGCACCATACCCTGAAAATATGTATTTTCGACCGTTTGGTACAATTTCCAAAATTTTTCCAAAACTCCGTAAAAAGTTGAAAAAAAAAGTCTCAAAAAGTTAGGCTCAGATCACTCAGCATCATGCGAAACGTAGAGATTCACTAGTCCCTGAGGACGTGATTATACGACCTTTTTGCACATTTTTTCAAAACTTTTCCAAATTCCCAGTGAAGGGTTGAAAAAAATTGTCTCGAAAAGTTAGGTTCAAATGATTCAGAATCATCTGAAACGTGGAGATTTACTGGTATCTGGAATCTTCCTCTCCCCCCCGGGACAAAATTCACATTTTTTTAAATATGCCGGACAAAATCTCTCAAAGAAAATCTCCCCGCAGAGGAGAATCACCTAATTCGATATAAACAAAAGGCTTACAAAACTTCATGTTTAAAATTCATATTTCTATGTTTCTTTTCCTTCCATTTTATTTGCGAATAGCTCTGAGGTATTTATCTGGGAGNGGGGGGGGGGGGGGGGGGGGGAGTCGAGAATCATCCTGGTTCCCCTTCTACTTGAGTCAAGCGATATTGATTGATGTTTTGCAAATGTTGTAATTGAAGCAGTTTTATTTTTTGTTTTTTTGCTTCCGAATGGAAGCTTTGAAAATGACATTTTTTTCGATTATCTAAAACGTCGAGATTTACTTCTGTTGAGAAATGTCTGTATGTATGTATGTGTGTGTGTGTGCGTTTGTCCAGAAATGTGTTAATAACTCCCGAACAGCCATTACAAAAAAGCTGAAATTTTGTCTCATAGTTGGTACCAATGAGACACAGATCTGTGCTAAATCTCAACCTGATTGGCTCCGTAGTTTCTGACATATAGCGATTTCTAAAAAATAGTTTTTTGCAAATATCTCAGGATGGGCTGGATCAATTTCCATTTTTTTTTTCAAAATATTCGTCACGATGATACCTACCTCATCGTATGGGAATTCAATGACCCCGCCATAGAAAATTGGATTTTATTGTCATTTTTTCATTTTTTCGACGAAATTGCTTGTTGCCACGATAACTTAAAAAATAATCGAGATAGAAACTCTAATCTCCGTACGATTTTAGGTCTTATCATAAAAAAGTTTGGTATTTTAAATGGGCGAAATTGTGGTTAGTGGTCAATACTATTTAGTCACACAACTTAGGAGAATTTGAGCTCAATTGGTTCAGTATTTCCACAGATGGCAAATTTAATGAAAAATGGTCTATTACATTAATTACCGTGTTTTTGTTTAGCCATAGCATTTTTTATCATAATTACTTGGAATGCCACGTCGTATGAATATTTCAACCAGCGTCCAGTAGTCGCGGTCGTTAAATCGTTGGTACGGCTTATTTTTCATTCAACTTCATAAAAAATGAAGATAGCAAGTTGAAATTTGACATGATTATAGCTCTTATAATATTGAAGATTGGTATTTTCGATAGGCGCAATCGGTCGAGCAGTTTCGGAAATATTCAACTTTTTGTACGAATCTATTTCATTAAAAGGTTGAATATCTTTCTGTAGATACCATGTAGCATGGAGTTATAGTTGTATGCCTGTCACAAGGACAGGGAATTGCTACGGATTCATTCGGAAGCTTACTACCAATGGAGTTGGTGGAAATAAAAAAAAGAAAAGGACTAATAACGCAACAAGTGATGGTCATGCCTTCTGTTGTATAGGGTCGAACCCCTGCTTGTTTCGTCATTATTTGAGCCTTTCGACAAATGTTTTCGTGTCACGGGACCTGAAAATTAATATACATACCTCGCCGTGGAAAACATCACCATTCCCCACGTGCAAGATTGCCTTCCAAGCCGAAGGCGAGATCTGTTTTCCAAGGCTCGGGCATGTAATGTACTATTTCGTGTTTTTCAATGACTTCCGTGAAGTAAAGACAAGTGAGTTGAAAATTTTTGGATTTGTTTTTTTCTCCTTTTTCACTGTACAAAGGATAACATTGTTGTGATGGTACGAATAAGTTTTCGGAGAAGATTTTTGGGGGGAAATTTTGTCCGGGGTTTTTTTTTGAAAATATTATCAGAGGGGAAGATTCCTAGAATCAGATTTACTATTCCTTGAGAGTCTTTGTACGACCTTTTTGCACAACAAACGCGACGTGATCCCATTGATAATGTTAATCGACCAATTTTAAATAGAATATTACTCATCATCTGAGGAAAAGCATATCACGGAAATCTTCATCTAACAAAATCTTTAGATCTAATATATAAAAAAGGGATTTAACAGTTGGGCCTCCGTCTCTCCTCCTCAAGTAGATCATCGTAGACATGGAGATCTAACTCTCTTCATGGAACATTTACTGACTGATGTCTCGACTCTATGGAAACCAATTTATGCAGACATCACAAGTGAAGGTGAAATTCTCATTGCTTAAATTTTTCTCCTCTACGTTAAGATGACTCAGGCAAGAAAATTCCGTCCACCTCTGACCAATAATTGAGTCAGACAGCTCCGTTTGCGCTGATGTTTCTCCTTTTGGACTATACATTCCGATAAAAATAAAGAAAAACTTGCAAAATTTTGAGGCTTTTTTTTCCATATAGAATTGGCGAATTCGTTCTTATACATGTACTTTATTCGAGAACTATAGAGTCAAGACATCGAATCAATTTGTTATAAAAGATACATGCATAACTCCTATTTCAAATGTAATGTAAAAAATATCAATGGAAAGAAAATATTCTAGTGATCGTTGCGTGCGTTTCCAGGACAATTATCCTTCAAGTCCTTGACACTACCATAAGCCGCACCACACCAAATGCAGTAGAAATACTTTTCTCTCAAATACTTTGTAAGAATCTCCAGCTTTTCACTTGTAGAAAGCGTTTGCTGTTCTTTTTCTTCATTCTCTTCCTCCTCATCATTATTTCCATTTTCTTTCTTAATTTCTGGCCAAAACCAGGTTTCTCTCGGCTGTTGCAAGTTTTCGTTAACATTCAGATGTTCACAAACCTTTTGACTTTTTAATAAATCCATTGCTGCCAGTTGTTCCGATTTTTTCGTTGATATTCTGCTACGAAAATCGTCTGTTTTCAGAGTTTCTAATTTCGCTATTGGATTAATGATTTTTATGGGTTTTCTTTTCTCTAATTTCCCTAAACCCAGACGATTTGCTTTGACGTCGACTGGTATTGGCTCTGCACGACCAGACTTAGTTTTGCCTATGCCTTGGCCTGGTTTGTAACCCATCTTCATAAGTATTTCAAAACCTGAAATATGTAAGGTGATATATAGAAAATTCACGCAGCTCTTATCGATGGTAACCTTGATGATAATACTTATAACAATAATGAAACTTTTTATATTCGTAATTAACGTGAATATTATTAATAATGTTTATTCAATATTGAATGTCTCTTTACCCTTGTTACTACTGGATATAGCTGACGATAAACCTTCTTCCCTCTTTTCTTGTTCCATTACTTTGACCGATTTATTTTTCTCTCTCATCCTTTCCTCGGCAGCCGCTTTCCTCTTCAAAAGTTCCATTTCACGTTGCTGAGATTTTTTGAAAATTAAACTGGCAGAAGTGTATTTTTCAGTTTCCAAAAGAAACTTATCTGACATGTAATCCTCGTTGTCTGACATTTTATGTCTGTAAATATGATTTCAGTATTCAATAATGTTTTATTCGTTGATCATGAGAGGCAATCTCACCTTTATATGGATGCAATGGATGTTACACTAGTATTTGCCGGGATAGAATGTCAATATTTTCGTTTCATTTGGATAAAATCAATGCCTCTTGCTCTCTGAATTCTTAGGTTATGTTAGTGTGGTTCTTGTCCATATATGAAACTAGGGGCGCGTTTCGCAATCGACTTAGTAGCAGTAGCAGTACTGTAACCCTATCTAATTTCGCTTTACTGCAGCTACGGTAGTTGATTCCGAAACGCACCCTAGGGATGCAACGGACAAAGCTGACCGGTCATTTTATACCACTTTTTTTCTATATTGAGCTTTTTAAATTCTATGATAACAATCAATAAGAAAAGCGCTACGAAACTTCTGATTTTTTTGCAATTCCGTACTTAGGTAGGATTCACTAAATTTTCGATTTCCGTTTCGGCGTTATTCATAATCGTATTCAAATTTCAAAAAAAAATTCATGCGGAAAATGAAAAAAAAATCACCGAGCACAAAAATGACGGTCAGATTACATCTAGATAGACGAATTTACAGCATAAATGACAACGAGAAAAAATGACTGACAATTGGGTAAGTTGACCGGTCAATTTGCATCATGAGGTACAGTCAGGAATGGTCAGGAAACGGTAAATTTACGGCTGACTTGACGCATGAAAAAATGACCGTCATTTTGCATCCCTAATATGTACTGTTGTCAGAGATTATAGGGAAGATGAGCAGGGCCAATGTAAAGTGTTCAACAGCAAAATTCGTAGTGGTGGCGCATGGACTACGATGGAGCGTACGGAGCTGTTGGTATGGTTGGGCCCGAGCATAAATTTGTCGATAACCGGAAAGGGGTTCTCAATACGGTAGCTCCTCGCATTTTGTAATAATTGTCAGGAATGTAAAATCGAACATATTATAATCAATAGTATAATGATGCAGAATCTAATGATCTAAAAGTCGTTTCCTTTTTCTCGACATATTTATTATTGACACGTAGGTCAAAAAATTCATAGAAAATCACAACGCTGCCGCTGGAAAACTCTATAGTTTTCCAGTGATTCTATTGAATAATTTTGCAGATTTTGTTTTTTCTTACTATAGTAATGTTCGATTATATATATTTATTCCCCCCCTGAGTGAGAAAGGAATATGTATCGCGCTCACTCCCACTCATTGTCGTTTCCGTCGCGTTGGCACGTGCCCGTCCTCCGCCAAACTTAACGAGTGCGAGTGAGAAAGAAAATGGAGAAGGAAGAGAGAGAAAACCCAGTAAACATTGGGCTCACAATTTGCTGGCAATTTGCTTGCTAATTTTCCGCAGTTTAGGAATAAAAATGTCAACATAATGACGACAAAACTTTCCGATAACTCGTCTATTATGCATCAGCAAGTTATCATGAGAATTATCCGTAAATTTGCCGATAAGTTTGCCATCGAAAAGCAGACAAAATAAAGCCAAATTTTTGTACAAAATTTGATGACAAATCTTCAACAAACGAAGGGATTGTTTTGCTTTCAAATATTGTCATTATTTGTCTTCTAATTTGCTGGTATAGTTGAAGGGTGGGGCAAAGTTGATGTCGGGCTTAAATTTGTTAAATGGTGATTTATTTGAGGGTTACGATCCCGTGGTTATCTACCGATTATCTACCGAGCAACAATGCAAAAATGCCATTGTTCCACTTTGGCCCACCCCCCTCAATATCTTATTATGAACAAAATTTGTCAATATTGTGATTAAAGCAAATTCAAGTAGTGAATAAAAGTGGCTATATCTTTTCTGAACTTCAAAGTCTATTGATAATTTTGAGGAGATGTCAAGGAATTGGATCAAAATAAAAATCTTTCAAAACCCTCACCATCGTCAATCATATAGCCAATTTTTTCTGTGGTTGTGTATGAAATAAGATGACTTCTCAAATATTTTCACATTTTTGCCGCGTCTTGTCAGCAGTTGTATTGTGTTCTAAGTTGTCTTCACACACCTGTAACATGCATAAAAATCAAACAATTCAATTTGTTTTTTTCTCTTCAAAATGTGCATCTTCTGACACAATTTTCAAAGAGGAATTTTTTAATAAAATTTTCAGTGAATATATAGGACCAGAAAACAATTTTCCACCAAAGGCCAAAGTTAAGATCCCATTAGGTGGCTCCCATTTTCAATTTGAATATACGAATTCATGATGAAAAATTAAAAAGATATCAAAACTTCGTCTGCATTTGAACGTGGATGCATAATGTAAATTTGTCGCTTGAAAAATCAATGCACCTTATTCAGATCTCAAACAATTGAATGATTTTTTATGTGTTCCAATGGGATCTTCACTTTGGCCTTTGGTGAAAATATTTATTTTGGAGCCAATATATCCACTGAAATTTTTATAAACAAATAGAATAGGTACAACCGCGAAAACAAGTATTTTTAAATTTTTTTTGACGTTTTTGAAAGGAAAGCGATGGAAGAACGAAGAAAAGAAAATTGACCATTTCCGTATGAAAAGTAGGTCAGAAGACACACATTTTGAAAAAATGAAAATAAATTGGTTGATTTTTACGGAAGATGTAGGTGTTCGAAGACAAAACTTGGAATAAAATATATAATAACTGCTCGCAGAATGCGTCAAAAAAATCAGGAAAAATTTGAGAAGTCATCATATTTCACATACAACCCCCAAAAAAATAGGCTTTATGATTGACGATGGGGAGGGTTTTGACCACGTTGAGATCACATGGCATTGCCCATATATTATTGATGTAGAAATATGAGAATCTATTGTTCCTTTCAGTCAAATACCTATTCATTACGGATTTGTAGAATTTGAAGAATTTGAAATCTATTTCTCATTAATTTTTCCAACATCCTTTTTTCCATAATCATTCCACAAGATGAGAAATTAGATTTAATTATTCCATATTTCATATTTATTCACTTATATGGGTAATTCCACCAATTACCAACTGACCATTTTGCGCCAAGTCTGGGATTTCGACAAAATCATGGCAAAAAACTATCTTTTATGAAAAATAAAAAAAAAATCTTGATTATTTTTTCAATCCAAATTTCAGTCAACAGGATTAGACCATTAGACATCACATGGTACAAAGAACATGGTTTTCAACTGATAATTGTTTGATAATTTTCTCTGGTAGTTGCTATGTAAAAAAGAAAAGATCTTTCAGTGGAGTGAACCCCTCGTCGAAACTAACAGATCAATTTTGTCTCATGGTGCAATCCTGTTGACCGAAATTTGGATTGAAAAAATAATCCCCCGAATACCACTCGAACTTCAAAATTAATCAGGTATTTGCCTCAATGTTCCCTGCATACAAACAAAGTCGTCAAGTATTTCAGAAAAATCACTCGCGCTTCGCGCTCGTTATTTTTTAACTGAAAAAACTTGACTCCTTCGTTTGTTTGCAACGAACCTATCGGGAAATACCCAATAATTTTGAAGCTCTTGTGGTATAATAAGTGATAAATTTTGGGGAACCGGGTCACAAGCGCGATTTTCCACTTTTTTGTACAGAAAAACTTCATTTTTGCCGTGAAAAACCCATCGGAATAAAAAAAAATCATTTTTTTCTGGAAATTCAGAATTTTTCCGACGAATTACCCATGGAATACCAGTTATAATTATAATGGAATTACCAGTTATAATACCCCGGTGCTTGAAAATTATCGAGTATTTCCCGAAAGTTTCGTTGCTTAGCAACATGTGTATGAAGTTTGGCAGTATCAAAATCCCGAGCGCTTGCGCGAGGTATTTTGTGCCAAACTGCATGCACATGTTGCTAAGCAGGGGAATTTGAGGGAAATACTCGATTAATTTTCAAGCACGAGGGGTATTCGGCGGGTTATTCCCCCCCATTCAAATCTCGATCAATGGGAGCTGGGATTTGACATTTTCGTGGCAAAATGAACATTTTTTTCTCCAAATCGTCTTTTTTTTCTCCATCATTTTCACAAATGTCACTACTCTTTGATGTTTCTTCAACTGTCTCGGGTTAAATTCCTACGGAAAACTTTTGTTTATTGCTTAGCAACAGGCGTGGTATTACATAAAAATTATCGATATCATACGCACCACGTGATGTCAAATCCCATGCTCCTATTGGTCAAGATTTGAATGGTGGGGAATAACCCATATAATTTGTAATTGATCTTTTAGTGTCAAGAAAACCTTTTTCAGAATCATATTTCAACACATCTGACATTTTTACAGATATAATTTTGTGATTCGTAGTTTATCTCTTCAATCCATTTTTTTTTCAATGTCAGGAAATATTTCTATCAGATCCAAGTTATTCAATACATGTAAATTGTAGAATACGTGGCAATCTCATTGTCAATCAAGTCATAGTCAAGAAGAACATCGAAAACATATTCCAGTATACTCACAACTCGGTGATGGGCAAGCTTAATACTTACTGAGTACTAAGTACTGTAGTACATCAAGTGCCTAGTACTTAGTAGCTGTCTCATCACTAAATACCCAGGTACTTAGTACTTAAACCTGTCTAAGTACTAAGTACTCAAGGTACTTAATACTTTTGGGCAGGTTTAAGTACCAAGTACATCAAGCAGTCTAGGGATCCGAAAGTAAACATTTGCTCAACAGGGTGTCTCAAAATATTCGGCGAAGTCATTAAGGGGTGAAAAAGAATGACATGATGAGTCGAAAGGTCCTCTTCGATTTTTTGCTCCGAGCATTCATTCAAGAGTTATCAACTAATTAGACTGTTGATAATTTTGCGATTGAATCACCATTTCAGTAGCGAAGAAAGTTTCCGCCCCAAAGATTGAGATAAAGTGCAGAATTTATTTGAATTTTCTACACAACTGGAGGATTTTCTCGAATTCTTTAAAAACCAAGAAGTATCCTCAAATTTACTGTAAAACCAGAGAATTTTATCGATTTTTCCAAAAAACTGGAGAATTTTTCTCGAATGTCCTCGAAAACCTCGACACCTCGAAAGCTCCGTTTAAAAATGCGAACACAAAATAAAGACACAAAAACTTTAATATCTCGGAAACAAGATGCAACGAAGTAGACTCTTTTCATGTGGACGTCCACATTAATAGACGACAATTGCAATAGAATTGTTTATTCCGGCTTTTTATTAATAAGTTATAATATTAATCGAAACATTACAAATCTGTCCCACAACACACCCTCTTGGAAGAATCCATATCTTTCCTTTCATTTGGGATGAATAGAATACTAATTAGTCCACTAATTGACTCTCTAACTGCCGACAACTTAACAGTAAATTGATGTCGAATCAATTGATAATATTATTAGAAATTTAGAGTCAACTTTTATGCAACTAATTGACATTGAATGGTGTGATAATATTGAAATAGAAATCGTCAACATTATCCCTTATTTTGTCGATAAATTGACGGCAAATTTCATCTGAAGAGTTGCGCACATTCAAGTTCGACAAT